TTCTGAGTACGTGACTTCCTACTGATGTGTCATGATATTGCAACATCCCCCCCCCAGGTCAACCACAGCCCTGATGCAGCCCTCAATGAAATGGAGTTTGATATCCCTGCTCTAAGCCAATTTTCCTAAGGTGGCATTGTCTAAATCAGCGAGTATCAACCTCAGCAATGTGTGGACTTGAAATCCCAGTATTGAAGTCCACTCACCTTAAAGCTGCTGAGGTTGAGAAATACCATTTTGCTCCAAGTAATCTGGTAGGGTGAGGAGGACAAAGGAGCTGTAGTCTCCATGTTGGAAGGGAGCCAGAATGGGGAAAGCTATTCCCACAAGAAAACTGTTAAGAAAGGAAGCGTTCTGCATCCTCCTTTACCCACAATAAGCAACAATAAGCAGCAGCTTTGCACAACTTTCCTGAGTAGCTTGGTTGGTTAGGCATAAGAGGTCAGGAAGGGCTGCCCTCATCGGTTGACTTACAAGAACAACTAGCAAAAGGAAATCTGCAAGTTCCTGAGGCAATTTGTTCCAACTAGTCTTATTCCCTTTTCACTCCTTTTGTCAGCCCTGAAGCCATATTGGAGCATTTTCAGGGCTGCCACAGCGGGGCCAGTTGAAACTGTGGGAAAGGGAGAGAGGAGATAGAGATAGCTGGGGATGTGTAGCCGAAATAAAATTCTTTCTCTTGGGAACCAAGGACATTCTCACAAGGTGCTGGGAAGGCGTGGACTGAAAACAGCTGGAGTTGGGACTGTGACCTGGTTGGACCATGTGATGGACATGTGACCTGGGGGCAAGGACTTTGGGTTTTAGTTTGAGTGGGGAAAACCTCGGGTCTTTCAGAGTTGGGTTTTCATCAGCTGTGCCAATATGACATTCCTAATAAATTAATACTGTGGGGAATCTCCAGGCCTCAGTGCAGGGGTGGGTTTCTACTGGTTCTGTCCACCTCTGTAGAACTGGTAGCTCTGAAGAGCAGCATAGAACCAGTTCTATGTCTGTTGATGTTTTTGCTCTTACCTGATCTTTGTTTCCTGATTTTTCAACTTCAGCTGCCGAACGAGGCACAGATGCAGTTAAAAAAGCAGGAAAAGAGGGCTGTTTCAAAGGCTCCTTCTCTGCACGCAGTGTGCTGATGATGATTTACAGGCGCATGGCTCCCAGCGTGCAGGGAAGCTCGCAAATCCCGAACTGGTAGTTAACCCTGTCGTATCCCCCCCCGCCTCAGTGTTTTGATTGCGTTGGGCTTGTTACTTGGAACCCTGACACCTTTATTATTCCAGACTAATGTACTTGCCCACAGTAGAAACACGGTTCTTCTCATTTTCTCACAGAAAATAATGAAACGACAAAAAAGGAATAAGTTTCCTACATAATCCTACCTCACTGACTGCTGTTTAAAGAAGACTGCAGAAGTTCAGTTCTTGAAGGAACCTGCCTTAATTTGTTTATATTACTTTATTTCATGTTATTTTATTTTATTAATTGATTAGATTTATGTCTAACAAATATATCTAACTCCTTGCCTTTCCCAAGGAGTTTAGGGTACATACACAACCATCCAATGCTTCTTGCTACAGATTATGAAAAATAGGTTGGGCTGAGAGAAAATGACTGATGTTAAGTGATCTGGGGAACTTTTGTCTTTGAAGAGGACTAGAACCTGATCTCACAATTCCAGTAGCTTAAATACTGCCCTGTATAAATGTGGCATATTGACAGTCTGCCTCTTTTCCATAACGGAAAGCAAAAACAAATATCCCCAAACAATTCCTAAAGGATGGTGAATGCATCCATTAGGAATATAGGTATTATTTCTTTACATGCTCAAGTTAAAAGCTGGATTTTGAAATTGGATCACAACTTTTGTAGTATGAAGGGCCAAGTATTTGAGGATAATATGAGAATGCATCTAAAAATAGCTTACACAAACCTTTTAAGACACATTGATTTTATTTTTTACAGAATTAGCTGTAGACTTCTGCCTGCATGGTTTTCTTGCTAACATTAGAACCTTTTTTTTACATGAAAGAGTAAAACTTTGATTTTATGACATACCATTCCATTCAGTGTACTTTGGATGCAGCAAACAAAATCTGAATATACACTGCTTCCTTAAACAACAAAGTCCAGTGTTTGGTGAATTCTACATAAAGTTTGTGTGGGTGGGGGGTGGGTTACATAAATTACATTAAAATATGTACAATTTATGTAGATATATAATTAAATACATTCAAATAGACACCATCTTCCCAATTGGTTTATAAAATAAAGGCTTTATAGTACAATATATACTTTCAGGAACAGGCAGCAATGTTTCCTTGAACACAGCAAAGACTTCAGCAATTGATTGATAAATTATATGTTGCAAAACATGGTTTCCCTTCAACAGTAAATTAATGCAATAGAATAATTAAAATGTGAGCAACATTTCAAATATCACCACAGCCAAGTACTCATAACAGAGTTTTCATAAACATCAGGAATATGGGGGTGAAGCTAGTTTACAAATATGTTATAAGAATTAATTAAACTTCCACCACAATATCCTTTGAATTCCCCCAAAATGCTTTAGATACTTATGCCTATTTTTCTTCCAATCAACAGCCCAAAACAGATTTCCTTGATTTGTGATCCACCAACACAAATCTATGTTCACAAGGACCCCTGCTTTTATTATTGCAACCTGGCAACAAGTACAGGAAAAGTACCAAAGCAGTGATACAAATGATCCTGCTAGAAGGGTAGAAACACAGTCTTTACTCAAGTGAAGGAGCAGGAGAGTTTCAAATAACCATATAGTAGATCTGCTTCATCAATTTGAAGTAAATGAAATCAAACCTATTTCCATTTGTGTTCATTCCCTCCCCATATATTTTAATTGGAATAGTTTTCACTTACAACAGATTGCAAAGTGGTGCAGACTACTGAATATACAGGTAAAACTCGAAAAATTAGAATATCGTGCAAAAGTTCATTTATTTCAGTAATGTAACTTAAAAGGTGAAACTAATATATGAGATTGGCTCATTACATGCAAAGCAAGATAGTTCAAGCCATGATTTGTCATAATTGAGATGATTATGGCTTACAGCTCATGAAAACCCCAAATCCACAATCTCACAAAATTAGAATATTGTGAAAAGGTTCAACTGTTTGAACTGTTTTGCTTTGCATGTAATGAGTATCTCATATATTAGGTTCACCTTTTAAGTTGCATTACCGAAATAAATGAACTTTTGCATGATATTCTAATTTTTTGAGTTTCACCTGTATGTCATGTTTTGCAAAGTCAGAATTTTTCATTGGCAGTCTTTATTCATCTATTTATTTATCTGACTTTCCGAGCATAGCCAGGCGAGGCCAAGTTTGCTTCAGTATCATCAACATGTCACAAAATGATTCACATAGCTATGTAGTATCCGAAAAAAATGATGAGGACTAGTAACTTTTGTGGAGGTCTTTGTAAGGCTCTCAACCCTCAATGGAACGTTTAGCCTAACATCTGTGCAACCTAGCGAGAGTCAGGAAAAATTTCAGAGCAACCAGTGATTTCTTTGCTTCCTTCAACCTAGGGGAATTCTAAAACAACCCATTCCTATCCACTTTTTGATAAATGGGCATACAGCAACTCTCTAAATCAGGGGTCTCCAACCTTGGCAACTTGAAGACTTGTGGACTTCAACTCCCAGAGTTCCTCAGCCAGCAAAGCTGGTTGAGCTGGCTGAGGAACTCTGGGAGTTGAAGTCCACAAGTCTTCAAATTGCCAAGGTTGGAGACCTCTGCTCTAAATACTGCTTAAGTACAACTCCTATTATTGTTCAGAGTTGTGGTTTAGCAACATTTAAATCTTCACTTTGGCTGTTTTGTCAGGGATGAAAACTACAGAATTAAGTCCAGGACAGGATGCATACTAAAATGCCACAGACCAAGGGTAAGGAAGGCACAAGAGCCGATAACAAATCCACACAAAGATGCCAGGGCTTGAACCCGAGGCCTTAAGCATACAAAGTGCAAGTTTAGTCCTTCTCTGACGGTTGCCCACTGAAGCCCATGGAATCCAAACTAAGGCTCCCATAGCAACCTTGCTGGGAGAAGGCAGGACAGTGCTACAATCAAACAACTCTATGGCCATACTTCCCTGCACAACTTTGTCCCAAGTGTGGCAAACTTGTCTTCTTTGCCATCTCATAGGAGTAATCCCTCATTTGTCAGCAAGGGGGAGGGGGGCATAATCCAAAATTGAAAAAGTCTAGATAAAAATATATGTGTGTGCAAAGAAGAGGCAGGTACCTCAACTCCTGAAGGAGGGCTGGCTGACAATTGGAGTTGTGTGTCTGAGGATGCGGTGCAGGAAAGCTAAGCCAGCAAGTTTGTGATTCCACGGGTATTATTACTGTGCCAAATACCGTATGGCGAGGTTCAATATTTAACTGGGCTGAACTATATAATTAGGACGGCAAAAAGCAGAAGGGGTTGGTTCCAAGTCTTTTACGGGTGGGAAATAACATATCCAAGCCCCGAAAGAGTGAGATTGGCTCTGTGGGGTGGCCGGCGTCCGAAAATCACTGCTGCCATTTTCTCATCCTGTGAAATACAGGAGCCATGCAAGGACACGAGACCGGCTAAAGCTGCGGGACGGGCGGGGAAGCCTCCCGATGGCCCACGCAATTCCCTAGTTCTGTGGGTGGGCAGAAGCGCGAATGGAGGCCAGGGCAATCGCGGGGACGGCCCTGCAGGGAGGGCACGGAAATCGGAGGGCATCGGAGCCCGGAAGCGGAGGAGTGAGAAGGTAGGGGAAGCAAGCATAGGGTTGGAGGACAATCTGCCGCATCTCACCGTGGGTATAGATGTTGCCCAGCTCGTTGTGCAAGTAGAAAAGGCTGCGGAAACAGCCGGACCCTGAGCTAACCGGCCGGTAGCCCGTTAGCACGAAGCGGTTGAATTGCAAATGAGGGGGGGAGCTGGCCCAGTCCAGGAGCCGGCCTCCCCACAGGAAAGCCATGGCCGAGCTCCCCCCCACCCCGGTCAGCTATTACCCGGGTACTGCATCCTTCTAGCTCTGCTTCCTCCTGCTTCTGCCGTTGCTGATGAGGCCATTGCAGGCGGGGACTCTTCCTCAGGCTTCCCCACACTCTTTTTCCTCTCCGCAGCTTGAGCTCACAATTCTGCCCACCCACCTACCTCATTAGCATAACAGATACTCGGGTATCGCTCGCCGCCTTTGGCCACGCTTCTTGCAGGCAATGCTCCCTGCCCTTCTTAATTTGCATCCTCTAACGCAAACCGCGCCTACTGTCCCTCGTTTCATTTGCATAATCTCTGCATCGCAGTTCGGTACGCACGGTTGTCCAAACCAGCATTCTCTGCGTTGCGTAATAATATTGTTGCAGGAAATTACGAGATTCAGACCTTGGAATCCAAAAATAAGTTGGTTTTATTTGCGCAAACAGGTTCAGAGTATTTTAGTGAGAGTCACTTCTGAACAAATTTCTTATAGAACAGCACATGCCTATATACTTCTTCAGAAGAGGCAAAACACAGAAATATAACTTGTCTGTCATTCATTGGTTACTTGAAACACAGCTTTCCCCCTCCCCTGTTGCTAGACTAGGATGGCTGGATGTCACAAACCCATCTTGCTAAACTCCCTAGCTTGTGGTTTTGTTACAAGCGAGACAAGGTTTCTTGGCAAATATGACTTTGTGACTGATAGATGATCCTTGTGCTTTGGCTTTTCACGCTTCCTTGTTCTTTCTCTTGCTAATACCACATATTTCACTATCTATAAAACTTGTATCATTATTTCTCTAAAATTAATATATTTTTATGTCCTGCCTTACTATAGGATGTAGAGATGCAAACCACACCTATTCTATTTTGAGTGCCTATCAAGTGTCCAGGAGAAAACTATAGCGTTCTATTATTAGCATAACCGAATGCCCTCCTCGCATCGGTGCCCACTGTTACTAAGCGTTAGCTTTTTGCATAAGGATTGAGATATGCCCTCAGTCTCCTCCCAGGGAGGACTGTGATTGGGTACTGTGGCACACATGGAAGATAACCCAGATAACAGATAATCAGAGTTGGGAGGGACCTTATAGGTCATCTAGTCCAACTCTCTGCCCAAGCGGGAGACCCTACTACACAATTTCTGACAAATGGTAGTCCAATCCCTTCTTGAAGGTCTCAAGTGATGGCGCTCCCACAACTTCCAAGGGCAAACTGTTTCATTGGTTGATTGTTCTCACTGTCTGGATCTTGAGCCTATCTTCTTGGGTGTTAGCTATTCCTGCCAGCTTAGTATCATCTGCAAATTTGGTAAGTTCCCCTTCTATTCCCTCATCTAAGTTGTTAATGAAGATATTGAAGAGTACTGGGCCAAAGACAGAACCTTGTGGCACCCCACTGCTTACTTCCCTCCATGTAGACTTAGACCCATTAAGGACTCCTGGTTGAGTACGGTTTGTTAGCCAGTTGCGAGTGCATCTTGTGGTGGTACGATCTATTCCACTTTTTTTCTAGCTTACTAAGAAGTAGGTTGTGGTCTACTTTGTCGAATGCCTTGCTGAAATCTAAATACACTGCTCAAAAAAATAAAGGGAACACAAAAATAAGACATCCTAGATCTGAATGAATGAAATATTCTTATTAAATACTTTGTTCATTACATAGTTGAATGTACTGACAACAAAATCACACAAAAATTATCAATGGAAATCAAATTTAGCAACCCATGGAGGTCTGGATTTGGAGTTACACTCAAAATTAAAGTCGAAAAAAACACTACAGGCTGATCCAACTTTGATGTAATGTCCTTAAAACAAGTCAAAATGAGGCTCAGTAGTGTGTGTGGTCTCCACGTGCCTGTATGACCTCCCTACAACGCCTGGGCATGCTTCTGATGAGGTGGCAGATGGTCTCCTGAGGGATCTCCTCCCACACCTGGTCTAAAGCATCCCCCAACTCCTGGACAGTCTGTGATGCAACGTGGCGTTGGTGGATGGAGCGAGACACGATGTCCCAGATGTACTCAATTGGATTCAGGTCTGGGGAACGCGCGGGCCAGTCCATAGCATCAATGCCTTCGTCTTGCAGGAACTGCTGACACACTCCAGCCACATGAGGTCTAGCATTGTCTTGCATTAGGGCCAGTGCCAGGGCCAACCACACCAGCATATGGTCTCACAAGGGGTCTGAGGATTTCATCTCGGTACCTAATGGCAGACAGGCTACCTCTGGCGAGCACATGGAGGGCTGTGCGGCCCCCTAAAGAAATGCCACCCCACACCAATACTGACCCACTGCCAAACCGGTCATGCTGGAGGATGTTGCAGGTAGCAGAACGTTCTCCAGAGCGTCTCCAGACCCTGTCACGCCTGTCACGTGCTCAGTGTGAACCTGCTTTCATCTGTGAAGAACACAGGGCGCCAGTGGCGAATTTGCCAATCTTGGTATTCTCTGGCAAATGCCAAACATCCTGCACGGTGTTGGGCTGTAAGCACAACCCCCACCTGTGGACGTTGGGCCCTCATACCACCCTCATGGAGTCTGTTTCTGACCGTTTGAGTAGCCACATGCACATTTGTGGCCCGCTGGAGGTTATTTTGCAGGGCTCTGGCAGTGTTCCTCCTGTCCCTCCTTGCACAAAGGTGGAGGTAGCGGTCCTGATGCTGGGTTGTTGCCCTCCTCCAGCCTCCTCCATGTTTTTTGCTGTACTGGCCTGTCTCCTGGTAGCACCTCCATGCTCTGGACACTACACTGACAGACACAGCAAACCTTCTTGCCACAGCTCGTATTGATGTGCCATCCTGGATGAGCTACACTACCTGAGCCACTTGTGTGGGTTGTAGACTCCATCTCATGCTACCACTAGAGTGAAAGCACCGCCAGCATTCAAAAGTGACCAAACCATCAGCCAGAAAGCATAGGAACTGAGAAGTGGTCTGTGGTTACCAGCTGCAGAACCACTCCTTTATTGGGGATGTCTTGCTAACTGCCTATGCTTTCCACCTGTTGTCTATTCCATTTGCACAACAGCATGTGAAATTGATTGTCAATCAGTGTTGCTACCTAAGTGGACAGTTTGATTTCACAGAAGTGTGATTGACTTGGAGTTACATTGTGTTGTTTAAGTGTTCCCTTTATGTTTTTGAGCAGTGTATATTATGTCCACAGTATTTTGCTAGTCAACTAATTTAGTCACTGTGTTGAAGAATGAAATAAGATTGGTTTGGCATGATCTGTTCTTAACAAACCTGTGCTGGCTGCTAGTTATTACTTTACTTGTTTCTAGATTTTGGCAAATCTGTTTTTTATTATCTTTTCCAGTATCTTCCCAGGTATTGATGTTAGGCTGATTGGTCTATAGTTTCCTGGGTCTGTTTTTTTCCTTTTTTGAAGATGGGAACCACATCAGCTCTTTTCCAGTCCTCTGGTAGTTCCCTGGTGCTCCAGGAGCCCAAAACAGGCAAAAGACGTCCCCACCCCACCAAAGGCTGAAGGGTGTGTAAGGTTAACATCATATGATTCTAAATCCTAATTAATCAGAAACTATTGTACAGTAGTCTATTAAGCCTAAACACCTGAATAGTTGGGCAGCGGATTGGACTAGAAGTCTTCTTGGAGGAAGACTATTTTATAGGGTCTTAAATTTTAATAATAATCTGTTTTATATCATACTTCTATTACAATATAGAACAGGGGTGTCGAACTGAAGGCCTAGGGGCAGGATGTGGCCCATGGGGTGCTTAGATCTGGCCCGCTGGGCCACCCTGTGTTGGAAATAACTCCAGCCAACAAGAACTTGGATCAGTGAAAACACAGAGATTTTATTTAAAACTGAAAAGAAAGAGGCAGTTTGCGAAGTGCCAGTGGGAATCCCAGCCTGAAATTTAGCCAGGAAAACCACACCTCTAGATTCCAAAAACAGTACATTTTATTCATTTCATTTCTATCACTACGCCCCTCCCCTCCCCTCATTGGATATGCCCTCAGGTGTTGCAGCTAATCCTAGGATGTTTCTAGGGAAAATTGTCTCCTTCCTTAATTTTCTCATATTACTTTCTCTGTACCCCTCTGTACCTATTCGTTTGGCATTAACTTATAAAGTTTTCTGTCTCTGTGGCATCTCCTTGGCATTAAGGAATGCAGCATCTCCTCATCAGGGCCTCTTTCTAACTTCTGAAGATACAATTTTAAGAGTTCAACATAAACTACCATTTTTCAAAGAGATTATAACAACCCCCCTTCCCAAAATGTAATAATAATAATATAAAAATATACAAAGGCATAATAATGGAGTATATCAAAATATCAAAAGCAGGTAAATACAGGAATGTTTTCTTAGATATTTAAGCATCTTATATACTATTTTATTTTTGAATTCCTTATTTCTTACAAATCCACCCTTTCTATTTTTCATACACTTTTTCATAAAATAAAACATTACTTCCGGAATTCTCTTAAGCTTTCTCTAATTTCTTCAGCATTTTCAAATTTCATAACAGCAATGTGTTCATTTATATCATCCAACATCATCATCATATGTTTTTCTTTATTTTGTGTTCCAGTTATCATACCTTTAATGGTGCTTTGTACTACATTCTTTATAAGGGGTGTTATGATATGTACAGAATAACCCTTGAGTAACAAGGATATGCACATGGAAACATTTATGAGAGTAGTTATGCATAATTATTCAGCCACACACAGATACACTAAATTGAGTTAAAGTTTACTTTAAGAAATAGCACAGTCCAATAAACGGTCCAGGTCATATACGTTTTACCATCCAAAGAATATCCAATTACAAAGTCTTCTTACCAGTTGCCTTTGTCATTTACAGTAAACAAAAATATCAAAGTATAAGCATGGCATAAATACAACAGAGAACCTTAGATAGCAACAGAATGTCAGAGATACAGAATGTCAGAGATACAGAATGTCAGAGAAAGCAAGCTATGATCTCTAGCTCCCTCTTATGGTAATTTGCAATATAATCAACCAATCGGAATATAGTATAAATCAATACAGTGATTTTGTCTTAAAGCTACAAACATACATTGTTGGTTTATATATTGCC